TTGTTTTTGTTGTTGTTGTTTTGCTTTAGGAAATTATTATAGCTTACGCTCTCAGCATGAAAAAGCAGCACTTTATTTCCAGAGAGCCTTGAAACTAAATCCTCGATATCTGGGAGCCTGGACACTTATGGGACATGAGTATATGGAAATGAAGAACACATCTGCAGCTATTCAAGCTTATAGGTATCTCTTATGCATCCCACAAAATAACATTGAGGTCTGCATACACAAGGATTGGATTAATATCTATTATATTTCCTTGTTAGTCTTTTGCTGAATTTTGTCCTCGTCTGGACCGCTTCCTGATTAGTGTGTTTCTTTTTCTTCAACAGACATGCAATAGAGGTGAACAAAAGGGACTACAGAGCATGGTATGGCTTGGGGCAAACCTATGAAATCCTCAAAATGCCGTTTTACTGTCTCTATTACTACCGACGGGCCCACCAGCTCAGGTAGAGTTAAGAACATGGCCAAATTTCTTGGAGTTCACTGTGAACTGCTTGCTGCCTGCTAAGAAAATTATATGCAGGAAATAAGTTGGGCAAAAGGGGCAAAATCATCAACTCCATGATTTGTGCAGTCTCACTATGCTAAATTCTTTCAGTTGTATTTGCTACCCTTAGCAAAGGCTTTGTCAGTTAAATACTGAGGAGTGCTGATCAGGAGTCTAGGTGAGATTTCATGTAAGAGAGAAGATGAAGGACTGGCCAGATACTGTCTGGGTTGGCTGTTCATTAAACTACATTTAGGAATTGCTTTTTTACAGACCCAATGATTCCCGTATGCTAGTTGCTCTAGGAGAATGCTATGAGAAACTCAACCAGTTGGTGGAAGCCAAAAAGGTAAGTGAGCGCTAAAATACACAGTAAGATAGGCTGGATGTTAGAATGTCTTCCAGGACGCTAGGTGGAGTTGCAGTAAAATTGTGTGGCCAGCACTGCCAGAACTGTCCCTTGGAGAATGACAGAGATGAACCTTTGAGTAGCTGTTGATAGTTATTGCAGTCCTGAACCTAGACTCAGAATGTAAGGAAATGCATACAGTATGTTGTTGGGGACTTATTTAAACTGCTCCTGTTGCAATAACGATTGAGTAGTTCTGCCTCAATATATCTGGAGCAGCTGGCAAAAAGAGTTGTCTACAGATTGTATATTGAAGAGATTTCTGGAGATGTTCTGGTTCAAGTCCCTGGCTAAAGCAGGGTCACCTAGGGCATGTTGCA